AAGTTACAAACGAACGGCCGCTCTTGCCCACTTGGTAGTTTGAACTTAATTGATTCAAGGATCACATCTGGCCATTTCTTGAAACAAGAGCCATGAGTTTGGCTTAGTTGGGCATTCATTCTGGGGAAAAAAATATTTTGCAGGCTTTCATTGTCACCTTGTTTTTTTTTAAATCTGCAACATGCTTATCCAACACGTTTAGACAAATGATAAACTGTCCTGAACTGTCAGGTGGCCTGGTACCACAGACAAAAAAAAAACTTAATACCATTATACGGTACACAGAAGTTAGTCACAACCTTACAAACTCCTTTTTATAAAAAGATCTGACATCATGTCCAGCAATATTTGGCTCTTGAGGGAAGCTAATCATGTATTTGGATATGTTACACACACTTAGACATAAAACAACATAAGATTTGTTTTGATTTCTCATGTCAAACCTGTAAGACACTAGGACGAGAATAAAGTAAAAGTAAATGAAATGATATTTTGCCGATTTCACCTTTGCTAATCTGTGGAACCTTGAACCCGTTACGTATATTCTTTCTTTGGCAGCCTAATTGTTTGAATTGTGCACACTGAGAACATTACAGCTGGTAAAGATCAACTGGGTACATCATCAGCTGTCTGTCCACTAACCATTTCGATCTCTGGTAAGGCCACTCACAAGTGGACTTTCTGTTTGAAAGTTGTGGCATCTAAACCAACCATTGAACTCCAGGAGGCCACTATGTTACAAAATAAACTTCTTTCAAATCTTCACTGAACTGTACCGTGACTCCTTGCATCCCTACAGTTTGTCATAGCCAGCAGGATGGGATATCGCCACTTGATGCCAATTTTAATCTCTGAGCCCAAACTCTGGGGGACAGAGAGTAACAATTTTTGTCACTGTGCTCTACCCTCTTACATTTACAGTCTCATTCAGTGTTGATCAAGGTTGGTAGCAGCAGAGATGAACATTTATAGGGATTATGTTACTGTATACTTCAGTAAGGAGGCAAAATAGGGTGGTAGATTAGAGGAGGAGCCTTCGGGGGAAAAGGTAGGGCAAATAAAGCCCAGGTAAGAAAAGGCCCGTCTGTGGGGAAAAAAGCACGGGAGAAAAAAAAAACACCTGTTCCTTGAAAGAAAGGAAAATTGCATAAGACCTTTCTGAAAGAAGGAAGGCGATGGACATAGTACTACCAATAATATTAAGTGCGAAACTATCTTGGTTTAAAAATGATATAGGTTAAGAAGTCATTTAAAAAAAAGAAACTGAAAAATAGTAAAAACTATCATGTACTGTTATTGTCATTGGTATGAGTGACTCTTGCATTGGTGACTCTTGCATGGAATTGTGAATTGGATTGGAATGCTGTGAGCAGTGGTCCCCAGTCACTTTCCACCTGGATGCAGACAGTGCTGATTGACTGGTTTGATGAATGAGGAGCTTCCATCGAACAGGACTGGCTGGCTGAAGGGATACCAGGAGGCGAGACCTGTTGATGCCCTTCTGTGAGTATTAAAGCCATGCAGTTTGGACAGTGGAAAGAGAGGAGATGCTACAAGCTGTCCTTCTTGAATTTTCTGGAGGCTCATGGATGTTGAAGCAGTTACAAAGGTACAAAGGCAGTGTCCCTGGCTCTGAAAGATTGAATTACTGCTTTGTATTGATTTGATTGATTTCCTGGGTGCACACATGTGAGTAAATCACTTTGGATACACTGCAGTACAAACATTACTCAGCACACCAGCAGCCTCCTCTTCTAAATGTCTCTTCTCCTGACTCTGAGGAGACAGCATGTCGGCTACTGTCGGTTCTCTCGATGGGAGTCGGTACAGGAACTGCTCTCCTCACAGGGGAGGAACTGCACTGGATCCCTGGACTGTGGGTTTTGCCTTTGCTCTCTGCAGGCTGTTTGTCTTGTTGACACGTCCTGGACAGGTGCAGCATTCCAAAAAGTTTGGTTTGGGAGTTGGACTGGTGTTGGTGATGGGAAATGTTTAAAAACAGTCGGGCCAACCAGTGCAGAAGACTCAGGTTAGATCTGTCTCTCCACTGTAGGTTGTAGGAGTGGAGCACAGATGGAGCCAGTCCCTGGAATCTTTCTGTGAAGACCTGCTCAATTTGTCAGGCATGCGAGCCGATGACCGCATCTGAGGAGCCAGAGGGGGGTGAGGTCTTGTGTGGGGCAGTTCTGGGTTTGAAGGAGTGCTCTTAATGGTAAGCTCTAACTGCACAGGTAGGTGAAAGGGGTTGTGAACGTTGCTATTTAGTTATGCAGCTCTGTACATACTTTGCCAGAAAATGTTCTCAAGGACTGAATGTGTACCTTTCTTGTATTTTGAGTGTGTTGGGCACAATAAATTGGAAACTGTATCTCCTAAATATTTAAATCTTTCTATATAAACCTATTATTTTTTTGCATGGGTTTTGTACATCAACAATCATGTACAAAACAGAATCCTATATATTGGAGTACAAACTGGCACTGGATCAGATATGAACTGTAGCCTTTGTTTGTTTTTTTGGACATCATGAGCACTAAATGGTGTGGTTTTGCCATTTCTTGTACTGTAGGTCTAATGACCTCTTAACCCTTCAAATGCTCCTTATTGATGAAAGCATGTATAAACTACCGTGTTTCAGAAGTTTGCTTCTGCCTGCTATTTACGCAGAAAGTAGATGAGCTCAGGCATATTTTGGACACAAGCATTGCTGTGTATTTTTTTTAAACGTGATGGTCTTCGCACGGTTTGCACATTTTATGCAACATGCTGCTACATTTCGCAATAGGTAGGTAGTTGGTTTGTAACAGTTTATTATGCATGCATTTTAAGTATTTTATTTTTCCTGCTTTTTAAGATTCCTTGAACTTTCTTTCAGTGCTGGTCTTGAATAACTGGCTTTTTACCTAACCTTGCACAGTAGGTTAATACCAATGCCAATGAACATGGCTGCTGAAATTAGTTCTCTATCTGTACTACATGGCTGTAGTGCAGCCCACCTGAAGTAACATTTTATGCAGTATGCTATGGATGAAGCAATAGCCGTATTACTGTAAATTTAACACTAGATCACAAAAGTTGCAAATGTAAAGATGTGACTAGGTGGTACTAATGAGATTTAGCATTAGTTGATGTGAAATTGTAATTCTTAGTACTGCATTTGCTCCTGCAGAGCTTGGAGGCAGCTTTGCGGTAAACATCCCGTCTCAAAGCGCTTTGTGTTCTTATATTACAGGCATTTTATTTCTAATGACGTTTCCATATGGAGGGCAGGGAGTTTAAAGCTTTGGAAAATGCATTCGCTGCAAAATACCATTGGAGATCACCCTCTCTTACTAAATATAACGCTTTGCGGATTTTTAAATAAACAGTAACGTTTGTAAAAATTGTGAATTTTGTACCTTGCTAAAAGACTGATTTGTAGGAGCACTGAGCGCATGAGTTCCTTCCAAGCACCGGAGTCTCTGCGGGAGAGATGCAATGAAGTGCTAATGGTAATTCGCTCATCCATTTCTTATCCTACACTGCCCTCTTGTGGTTATTCATAGTAATGTTAAATTTGCTAGAAACTCGGGTTTCTAAACAATTGTGGAAGCTACTTCAACTACTACCCTCCGACCACCTGGGTCGTAGCTAGTGCTCAAACAGGTTTTGGTTTTCACTTTTAGCGATGAAATTGCATCGAGCCAAGATGACTTTATTAAGTAGAGTTTTTTGGTGACGTTAGCAGGTATATACCCAGTGATGGGGAAGGAACTCTAAGAAGCTAAACCCCAAACGTTTTTGGGGGACTAAGTTTAGGATTGACCAAAGAAAGGGTTTGATTTTAAAGTGTAAGAGCCGGAGATACAGCCATCTGCATGATCCTTGGATAAAATATTGGCTGATCCTCATCTTGGTCTGAGTGCATGTTCCAGTCAGTTATGAGACACATTTAAATGTTAAGCGTTAGCAAAGTCTCAGTTTTAGACATTTAAGAGAAATGTCAAAAGTCATTTCATTATGGCATTATTGGTTGTGGCTGGTGGGTTTTTGCCGTCCCAAAAAAGACATTCTCAGTGGTTGAAGAGAACTCAGGGCCATTCACCTCATTGACCAAAATCTTAATAGTTACAGTAAATGTTAAACTTCCTTTTTAAAAAGGTAAGAGCTAAATTTCTATACTAATAGAAGAAAAGTACACTATACATATATTCTATTCAGTGCTAGCAATTTGTGCTTCTTCCTACACTTGCAAAATAAAAGTAGACAGTGAATCAGTGGTGAATTTTGATCTCTGGCACAGCTTTGGTGAAAAAGAGTAATAATCAAGCCACACATGGTTAAACAAATGTTTATTTATGACAAACACTAGACAAAACATACTGTAACTATAGTAACTTGTGTTGTATATACAGACAAGGCATTTCAGAGGCCTAAGATTCAATCACCCAGAGTGCCCAACACAGCTATTAAGTATTAAACTCTTATATAATGCCTTCAGAGGCCAAAATAACCTGCCTTCTAAATAAATGCAATAAAACCTGCAATTAATTCTGCAAACCCAGATGCCACAAATAAATGCTGCCTACTCTAAAAATTCACCCACAAGCTGGAAAAAAAAGCCATTTTTTTTAGCAAACCCCAGAATAGCAAGATCTCTCTAATGAAGTTCTAATACATAGCTCCAATCAGGTTTTGTTTGGATGATTTACTTTAACAGACACTAAATTATATTGGTTATATGCAATTTTAAATTTTTGATGACTGTGAATCACAATTTATTATTGCAACTTGCTACACGACTGAGTTATTACAAAAATATCGTTTTTAACATTGGATACTTCGATTGCGGAGATTTCTTTGGATATTAAAGTGAAAACGTAAGAAAGCCCGCAGTGTCAATTAAATCTTTAGAAACAATGACAAGCCTATTGATCGAACAATAGACTATAGTAGAGAGAGTTGATTCCGACACATGCCCGCCAGGCAGCGGTGGTGATACATGAATCTGTGGAGGGCTGTTGCGATATTAAACACCTGGATCATGTGACTGGGGTGTATACTTTCTCGTTTATGAATGAGAAGATCCACAGGCAATCAGATAACTTGAGTCTAGTAATGTCACGATTGGTTAGTGGGGAATTATTGTTGATTGACAGTAAATTGTCCAAATTGTAGACGAGTCTTGGTCCAGTTTGCCCAATAAACTCCGAGATTCATTGGGAGGGGCGGGAATTTTATTTTTCTTATTGTTTCTTCGGTCGGGAGTGTTTTTTTTTAGCAAAAAGGTATACAGCATTTCATTGTTATGGCCTTTCATTGGTAAAAATGAGTCTGCCTTTACAGCCGTAACTACATACTGTTGTTTTTTTTCTATCGTATTCTGTGAATCTGAACGGAAGAAGTCACGGCGCTACGTTACACGATGTGCTGTGGAAATTTTATTTGATGCTAGAAAACTCGAGGCTGATTCAGTGAAGCCCTCGTGTGTCAGAGCGCGTCTTCTGGCTCTTACTGTAGAAACCAAACTGAAGCTCAACCGTTTCTAAAGTCTGAGTCCTTGAGCTTTGAACATCAGGAAAACCAACTGGACAGTCCGCACAGTCTGCGACAGCACCGTCCACTCCACAGCCCTGAGGAAGGAGGTAGGCAGGACAAGAGCTATCTTTAACAGGAGCTGTGAGAATGGATTGTAGTTTTTACTTGATATTTATTGTACTTTTTCTCTTGTCAGTAATATTTTTTTTTATTTGTTAATGGTTTCATGTTGTGTCTTTAACCTACCTTTGGAAAGCAAATGTCCCATCTATGACAGTAAAGTAAGTAAGAGGTGTCCAGTCTTGGGTGGGGTTAATCTGTAGCAGGGGTGTCCACTCCTGGTCTTGGAGGGATCAGTGTGTCTGCAGATGGTCCAGGTGTTTTTATATCAGCAGCACTTTAAGAGCTGGGAAAAGGGTGCTTGTTTGTTTCAGTTAAACCAGTAACCAGCTGGTTTAGCTCCAGTCTCTCTCCCTCTGTAGCTCTGTACTGGGTACATGAGAGATCTAGAAAACAGAGATTACATGTTGATTTGTGTGTATTGAATATTTAGTTGTTACATTATTAATATGTATTTCTGCAAGCCCAGAATTAGACAAAGACAGAATACAGATGCTGGTTTAATCTTTATTTAAAAATATTTTCCCGAACATCATCATTTAGAAGTTCATTTTTCAGTGAATATTTAGAGACAGATATAATGGTTTGAATATCTGTTTTGTAAAGCAATGTGTATTTATATACTTGTACAGATCTTACACTCTGTCTCTGCAGTATCACTTCAGTATGCTGTATTTTATTTTTGTATTGTTTCTGGCTGTTAGAAAGGAGATGACTTCTGTTGCAGTAAACTGTGTTGTGCTCTCTGGTTCCTCTGTCTGAGTTGCTTCTGCACTGCTGTGGGTATTTTTTCAGGGACAGTCTGTACCCAGCCTCAGGACTGGACGCTGATATCAGCTGACTCCTTCACCTTTTCATTCTAATAATCAGTTGAACTATTGTACTGTTTTTTACAAAGTACAACACTACTGATCAAACTTGTAGTCACTTGTTTTTTGGTTTTATTTTCATTCTTTCATTAGACACCTCTTCCACACAAATGGGCTTCATTTCCAGCTTGTGTGGTGGAACTGTAGTCTTTGTGTTGATAAACACATCAGCTGCATGACTAATAAGAAGTACAAAGGTAGTAAATTGAGTGTATAATAACCTTTTTACAGATCAAAAATCAGACTTCTTGGTGCAGCATTAAGATAAGTCAGGTTATAGAACTGTAAGTGCCGTGCAAAGATCTTTAAACCCCACAGCTCGCGTACATATTACTAAATTATTTCATTCACATTCCTGTGGTTCTCAGATACTAATAAGGATTAAATGTACTGTGATTTCTCAGATGGGCATAGAAAAAAAGATTTTGAAACTTGTAACGCATGGGGGCTTCTGAAAACGTGCTGGATTTCTTCCACAAGTCTTCAGGTGGAAGAAAAAAAGCTACCTGCGCCGTCAGTGTGTGGCCACGCCCACTCGAATGACATACCTCGCAGGCCACGCCCCACGCACCTGTCCGCCAGGTTCTGCGGGAGAGAAGGGAGCTGAGTGAGTTTGTTCCGCGTCATTTTATGATTATTTTTTATTTTTCCATTATTTGAATGTAGATAAAGTTTTACTCGTGTAATTATGAAGTCTAAACCTCGCAGGATAAAGGGGTAAAACTCGTATTTTCATTGGCATTTTTTAAATGTATTTTCTTTTCTAACGCTTCTCTTATGGTTAACAAGCCACCTGTGTTTCACAGACAACGTGTGTTTTCCTCTTACATTGAAGAAAAGCTCTGTTGTAGCCGTAAAGACACTGCTGTATCGGCAGAATGAAAACGTCGCTTTCCTTTTGTTTCTTTATTAAACACTTCGTGAATTGTGTTCACAAAATCAAGCGTGTGCATTTATCCAAACCGACACCTAGAATTGTAAAGTTTTTTGTCATGATTTTCCAGAGTATGTTGTGCGGTTGTGTTATTACTGTATATTCGTAGTAAAAACCCGCTTCTAATAGTTTTTAGTTTAAATGGTCTTTAAATTCTAAATTCTGCCCTTTTTGCGTTTTCATTTTAGTGTCTTCGGGCAGGACATGATTCGCACTAAGTAATGGGAGTATAAACGTAAGTTTAAACATTTTATTCATTTCTTTACACTTAAATATTTAAATATATTCTGTCTGCCCTGGTGAACACGCCGTTCGCTACTAAGAATCAATTATCTTAAATGACCGTCTAAATACATCTGTTCATTTGTTTCCAGTTTGGTGTCTCTGGGCAGGACAAGCTTGGCTTAGCTGCTGGAATTATCTATGTAAGTAGAAACCTTTTTATTCATACGTATCGTACTGAAGTACACTGTATACTGTACCTGCCGAATATTGTTGTTGGAAAACGTAATGCACCTTGTCAAAAGAAGACTCAAACTAGGCGATACTAGATTTCTCCAGGGCAGAAATGATTTTGACCCGAAAACACTGTGGGCCTGCTGTTTATAGAAATCATTTTCTGCTAAAACTGCGATCACTTTTTTTTTATGCGCATAAAGCACATTTATAAGAAACCGTTTTGGCTTCCAAACTGCATCACAACAATTAAAACAACAGATTTGGATTAATTGTTCATGTGTAAATTAAGAAAAAGAATATGCTAATCAAATGGAAATCGTAAAAAAAAACACGTTAGAACGTGGTAGTTTCTATCTAATCGATACACTGTAGCAGAATTGTGCCTTCGTTATTCACTCTTCGAAATTAAGCTTTAAATGTAACTACTTGAATACCCTGTTGAACAGGAACATTTTCTGTTACACCAGGCTAATCGCTTTATTCCAACTGTAAATCTTTTTATCTTCTAAACGTGTCAGTCGATACAGATGCTCGATCTAACTATCTGGGATCATTTCGAGATCCTATTTGTAACACAACGCACATCTAATACTGATTTCTGTTGTTTTGCTGGACTTGCAACTTGCAAAGTTCCAGTCTTCATTCCGGTCGCCACTTAGACAGATCCCTTGGAGAAACAGTAACGTACTGTATGTTCCTGTGTTTTCTTACCTGTAATTGCATGCAAATCTTTTCGTACTCTGTTTACGTGTAGAAGCATTTAGCGTAAATGTAGCCGTGCTTTGACACTTTGGAATTCCAATGTTAATTTTCACTTCAAAACCTGTTTATCTGTCGTACTGAAATGCTTTGTTTTGTGTGCATTTTTCGCTCAATAAATTGTTCATTGAAGTTTGTTTTTTCATTTCTTGTGCAGAGGTCTGTAACCCCTTGGTCTTGGAAAACCCTGATGTTGGTGAGTTTTTTGGCGGAGAGATGACTGCAAACAGTTTCTGAGAATCGATGCGATGGGCTGTTTTATGCTTGGAGTGCCCGGCAGCGAGGGGGCACCCTATCGCATTGTGACTTGGAAACTGCAGAGGCTACCCCCTTTTTAAGTGTGGTCAGATTTTCCCACCAAAAAACTTAGTATACTGTATGTTGGGGATTTTTCAGGGCGTGGTATCCACCCATCAATCAAGCCAAGCCCCCTCACTCCCAGCAGCAGAGGAAGGCAGGCTGGTGATGGCTTTGGTCTCTGCAGAGAGGCAGGTCACCTGGAGAGGAGACAGCCAGTTACAAGCTGTGAGTGAGGGGGCTTGGCTAGAGCTATCCTCAGTTCTCCCCCCGGGGCTGTACCTGGGCTCACTGCTAGGGACCCTAAACCCCTAAAAAGGCGGGGAAATCTGGAGCCGTTTAAAAAGGGGGTAGCCCCCGCAGTTCCCAAGAAAAAATGCGACAGGGTGTCCCCTTGCGGTTCGTGGCGAAAAGTACAAAACAACCCAATGCATCGTTTCTTGGAAACTGCTTGTGATCACACCAGAATCTCCAGCCAACCACTTACAGTACAGAGACATCAGCCCAGAGCAAACCCTTCCAACACCCCTTCAAAAAATAGAAGACAATTCAGAAAATGCGATCAACAGCTTTTATTGTACAATGCACAGCACATACCAGCAGTCAACAGGAAAACACAGGTTAAGAACGTCACTACATGAAGAGCAAGATACATCACTAAATCGGTGCATTGCAGATCAAGCCACTGGTGTCAATAACGAAATTTAAGGAGAAATACACATTGCCAAGAAGAACTTGCCAACGCACGAAGAGTTGCTGGAAAGGAGATCGTCGGAGCGCTGAGGACCAAAAGCAGCAGAACTGAAGGCAAAAGAAAAGGGACCAAGTTAACAAGATATCGGACGGATTTACTGAATCGATTCACTTGACATTCTCAAGTCTATTGACTTTTGAAATAAGCTGACTGAATAAAGAAATGTACAAACGCGCTCAAATTCAATTAAAAACTAAAAGGTAATTTCATGAGAAATCACAGATGCACCCCAATCCCACTACTCCAATGTTTAGAAAATACGTTAATCTACATAGAAATGCAATGCTACGTATACATTTAAGATCAAGTACCACGTACGGCGTGTATCGTATTTGATTCAACTTTCTGCGTTGAAAACATTGTTAAAATTTGTAGTATCCATCTTTACCAAACTGATGAACAAAAGAACCATAAATCTGCTTTCCAAAGCATTTTGGTACCCTTTTAAAAGGGCGAAATGCAACGTCTTGTTTCTGTTACGATTTAATATTGCTACCTATATTTTGGGTGCTTGGCCCGGTCTATTTCTCGTGTTCCGACAGTTCTCTTATTTAATGCAGTTTCTCTTCAGCTCTAGAGTCTTCCTGTCCTCTACAACATCGCCTAAGCACAGACCTTCCTGGCTGGTGAAACTGGAAAGGTGAGCGGTGAATCCGAAGGTGGGAGCCTGTCACTCATGAATTTAGGGTGCTTCATCTTCCTCTGATCCTCAGTAGTAGTTGCTGCATGAGCTTTCCTGCAATTGGACTATAAAACTCAGGCTGTTGTTCTCCGGCTGTCTCTTCATTCAAACAAGTAACTGGTTTCCAACAAAATGATGTTGCATCATTACCATTGGTAAAATAAACTCTTTAGACATACTTGCATTTGACTAATATCACAGCCTTGGCCAAACTGGCGCTGGCATTAATAAGGATCTGGAAGAGCAGCTCCTGAGAAACTGAAACCGCAGAAAGGACAAGAGATTTTAATTGCAAAGTGTTTTGTGTAGAAATGTTGAACGAGTCACGAACAAGAATTTGAGAGAGAATGTAAACATGTCCTAGGAGCTTCATGTGCTTTCTGGTAGAGGAACATTAACAAACTTAAAATTCCCGCCCCTCCCCTTGAAACTCTGAGTTTATTGGGCAACAGGAGGGAGTCCCGTCTTTAATTGAGAAAGTTTAGTGCGTGACGTGGCTGGATTCAATGCCAGTGATCTGATTGGCTCTGGGTCCTCTCATTCAAAACAAAGAGGTTTTAGACTCCGGTCACATGATACTGGTGTTAAATATCACGACAAACCCTTGCTTCTGCACTGTAAGAGAGCCCTGCGTAGACGCGTGTACCACCTGTAGTTTGATCAATGGGGGCTTAATTTCATTTCTAAAGATTTTACTAACAAGCGGGCTTTCTTACGTTTTTACTCTAAAATCCAAATATTGTCGACATGTTCAAAGGAAAATTGTATTTTTTCTTGGAACTGAGACGAGTAGCTAGTCACAGTATTAACAATTTTGATTCCCAAATACATTAATATAAATATAAACTCTTAAAGACAAGAGTCTAAAACATAAACAGAAACAGATCTAGGATAATTATTTGAATGAGAAAGGATTACACGATTTAAGGCCGTCTAAATTAGTTCAACAAGTCGGTATTTAAAGTTGTAGATGCAAAGTCACATAACCCACAACCAAAATGCATCGAAATCTACAGCAGCGGACATCCATAATCATATTCATCGTCAGAATGTCTGGTTTGTCTATTGCACCGTGTCTTGAATTTACACCCTGACTGTTTGCAGCTGTTGAAGACCCCATGGCTCCGTTGAAAGACTAAATTCCCGTATGGAACAGGTAGTAGGTGTATTCCCTGCTGGAAAAAGAAGAAAGAAAACAACGTTTCGGCCGTGGAGCCTTCTTCAGGTAATTACTGTAGCTGATTTAAACGTTTTGGCCTGCACCTTCACAGTTTTGATTTATATTGTTTAATTTGGAGATTCACTTAATGACCTTTTTTGGCAGTGTATTTTATAACTAATGGAAACTTTGGTTGTCCCCAGTGGTTTTCTGCTCCTTACACTAGAGTTAATAGTGCTCCATAACCAGGGATCATTTTACATTAAAGTGTGTTAAAAGCTACAAATAACCTCTTAGACATTACATTTCAGTCCTTGATTCTTATTGTGTTATTACTCCGTTTGAGTAGTTTAGGTTAAAGAGACAGTGCGATCCAGCTCAGAAAAGACTGATAATAATTTGTTTACACAAGCACGAAGGGAAACGGATTAAAAACTGGCAGGGAATTCCTGAATGCGGAGACAAAAAATAAAATGTGATATTAGAGCACTGCAAAAAATCTTGATTTCTTTTAAATCCACATTTTCTACTTTCTACTTCTAGGTTCATATTGTCTTCTAAAGCAGTGCTAACAAAGCAATGGCGGTTTCTTGAGAATTAGGTTTCAGAAATATTATTGTACTCGCAGCAAGTGTTCTGCTTCCTTATTTCGTATCTCGACTGTTTTCCTAAAAAAATGATTTAACATACCTCAATAACAGTAGCTACTGTATACAGTATTTGTATACTGTCTGCTTCTGTTGCAGAGATAATCGTATTACTGCTTATCCCTTGCAGTGCTTTGAGTACAGGAGATTTAATCAATGCTTTCAGTAAAATTGCTTTAATTTGCATTAATTGTCCCTATGAAAATACTCCTGTTAAAGGTCTTGAAGTGCTTTGAAATATTTTATCAATGAGGTAGGTGAAGGTGTTTAATTATACCATTCTGTAAAGCTTAAGGCTTCCCCTGGCTGCTGAGTGTGAAGAATAAATTAAGTCCGAGTGCATTACATTTCCAGAATTAAACCAATACCATTTTCTTCATTTGAGAGACTGAAGCATAGGCAGAGACATTCACTTGACAGTGGTGTGCGGTATTGATCGGTGTATCAGTCAGCGTTTCTCAAAGTGTCCTCTCCTGCCAGGAGTTTATTACAGCCAGCGGTGGCCTGAGAATCTCAGAACATATTCCTTTCGAGCCACCCTGTGACTGAACTTTCCTAACAGCCTGCAGTCCTCGAGTGTATTGAAGTTGGCGCACGTACACACATAAAAGGCAATTGCTTAGATCAGATGGAACAAAGCAGTTGGGACACCAGAGATTGGGTGTTAAAGTGATAGTAATCTAAAGGTCACTGAGCAAATGTCCTAGAGAGCAGCAGCGCGATTTCTTACTTTGCTTTGACACTGAACTTCGAGCAAGTCCTCGAGGTTAACCAGTCTGTTTAAGCCAGCATTTCTCTAAGGTGCTGGCACTCAGAATTAAAACATGCTAAATAGTGAGAGAAGTCCTTATCGGCCCCTCAACTCTATTTTTTTTAACTTATGTCACGTTCTAATGCAGGCAATCGATAAACTAGCAGACTGAAAACCTGGGAGAAGTACAGTATATGGAGAAAAAAAATTCTGCAGATAGAATTGAAATAACACCTTTTCTAAATATCATTTCTGTCCTAAAACACAACTATGGCATCAAACATTGTCTACATTTACATGAATCCTAACCCTAACCCTAGCTTAGGGTTTGCACAAGGTTAGGGTCAGAGCTAAGAATTTCTACAATATTACTTAATGGAACCTTCCACTCATTGGAGTGCAAAATATACTTCACTGAAAAAAGATATGTGTCTGTAATGGTTAAGCAGGCACACTTAACTAAAGAGAATGTATCCACAAGGGCAAAATTCAATTTTTGTATTCTACTATTTGAAATGTTGTATTGGATGGTGATCTCAATGAGCATGTTTACAGGCTTACCTGGGTAATAGTTAAGAATACCCCCAAAATGTGGGCTTTAGGGTGTTAATATGCATGTGGAATTAAACTGTAAATATGCTGGATAAGGGAGGGAAAAGATACCTTAACATTAATGAGCTATGACAAGAGCTGTATAGATTTTTCTGTGGTTCATTTTCTCTGTAAATCTATATTTCACTTTCTACTCTTAATGTTTTCCTATGAGACAAATGCAAAAATAACATCTAAATGTGTTTAATTTTTAAGTCGCTGTTTATGAGCATTGTATTTCTTACTGGAAATTAGCCTTGTGTTCTACTTTTACATCCTTTGAGGTCTCATCGTGAGAACTAATAGCTCGGCTGTAATATTTCAAAGTGCTGTTGGTGTAGGACATGATAAATTATCCTTTCCACTTCAGGACAAAAAAAAAAACATTTCAGCAGCTGAAATTACTGGGTATAGAAGTGATAATGAGAGGATGTATTCAGAATGAACAGAACTGTGTGTCAATAAATTATGTATACTTTTGTTCAGATCTGTTGAAAAGGCTGCAGTATTTGTTGATAAATAAACTGGGTTTTTAAAGTTCAACTGGATACCCAGTGGAAGAAAATTGTAAATATCAATACTTCCATGTTAAATGTCTATCATGTCCTATCTGCAAAAAAAAAACATTGAGGTTATGGTTTTAATAACTATAATCCAGCTACATGAAAATGTCAATTTTCTTTATTTCTCTCAGCCTTAGTCACTGCCTGGTAAGTATTTCAAGTTTAAAAGAATATTGATTGCATGATGTGATGGGTACATTTATTTTTCAACTGCAGTTATCTCGGTGATCTTAGATTGGTCAGATTCTGCAATTCATCACAGACCAGGGACACCTACTTAACCTTTAATTATAATTAATAATTGCTTGCAGTTATATAGCGCTTTTCTGGACACTCCACTCAAAATGCTTTACAGGTAATGGGGACTCCCCTCCACCACCACCAGTATGCAGCCCCATCTGGATGGTGATAATAACAATATTATTATTATTCTGGACACTCCACTCAAAGCACTTTACAGGTAATGGAGACTCCCCTCCACCACCACCAATGTGCAGCCCCACCTGGATGATGCGACGGCAGCCATAGTGCGCCAGAACACTCACCACACATCAGCTATCAGTGGGGAGGAGAGCAGAGTAATGTAGCCAATTCATAGAGGGGGATTATTAGGAGGCCAATTGTAAATTTGTAGTAAGGGCCAATTGGAAATTTGGCCAGGACACCGGAATTACACCCCTACTCTTTTCGAGAAGCGCCCTGGGATTTTTAATGACCACATAGAGTCAGGACCTCAGTTTTACATCTCATCCGAAGGACGGCTCCTGTTTACAGTATAGTGTCCCCATCACTATACTGGGGCATTAGGACCCACATGGACCGCAGGGTGAGCGCCCCCTGCTGGCCCCACTAACACCTCTTCCAGCAGCAACCTTAGTTTTTCCCAGGAGGTCTCCCATGCAGGTACTGACCAGGCTCACACACGCTTAGCTTCAGTGGGTTGCCAGTTGTGAGTTGCAGGGTGATATGGCTGCTGGCCATATCCATATGGCCATATGGATGATGTGACGGCAGCCATACTGCGCCAGTACTCTCACCCCACACCAACTATTAGTGGGGAGGAGAACAGTACAATGAAGCCAGTTCAGAGATGGGGATTATTAGGAGGCCATGATTGGTAAGGGCCAATAGGAAATTTGACCATGACACTGGGGTTACACCCCTACTCTTTTCAAGAAATACCCCGGGATTTTTAATGACCACAGACAGTCAGGACCTTGGTTTTACATCTCATCTGAAAGATTTTAAAGTCTCATAGCTAGTTCAAGCTTGGGTCTTGCCATTAACCAGCTGTGACTGGCGAAGTTGTGGTTTATAATTGGCAGAGTACCGTTTGGGGAATCCCATCGCCGTTGACTAGTGACATGATCCAGGCTGAGAAAAGCAACCTCTGAGCCAAAGTGCTCATCCTGTGCTCTGAGCAAGCACCTTCACTATCTGAGCCTTACTAAAATTTCCTTTTGATTTTTGCCTTCAGTGTTCTTTGTTTTTTTTTTAGACTCGGATAGCTGCCTGATTATTCATGTAGTGCATAAGCACTGGCAACATGCTTTTAAGAGTAAAATTTCAAAGGGACAGTACATCGCAGAGGAGTTTGGTAGACTGTTCCCTAGAGAAAGACCGAGGTCTAGAAAAGATCAAACAAGCTGAACCCTGGTATGAATTATCTCAATTTCAGATTTCCCCAATTAGAAACAAATGAACATAGATGAATTTGCATAGTTTATTTTATTTCTTGTGCACAACACACCACTGTGAGTTTCTTTCCTTCTTTGCCATAGCAACCACAGTAAAATAATGGTAAGAATTATTACATAGTTAATTTTTTAGATGTGTAATCATATTCTACTGTTCATCTACCATTTTCTTCTAATTCATTTCTAGTTCTATGCTGTATGCGATAGAAAAGAATGCACTCCAATATTACAGTGCTTCTGTAGCACTACTATCTTACAGAATGCTGACTCAAGTATGGAAGGAGTCAATAGTTAAAGCTGTTTCATATGGTTTATTATTGTGTCCTCTGTGCTGTTTTCTAGCCATATGAACACTTCAAGGATCATTGACCCTGATTTAAAAGAAATGATGGATCACTCTTTGCATTTTGCTCAGTTGCTTTGTTTTGAAAAGTTGTCAATGACCCCAGTAGATTTTTTATTTTAAGGCGTGAATAGTGTAGTTTTGCTGGAGTTTGACAATAACAGAAAGAGGTTAGTAAATTTACTCTGGCTGGGGAACAAAAAGTGCCAAAAATATCCATTTTGGGTTTTTAAAGATTAATTTGTTTATTAACGTGATATTCTGTAGTCAATTCTATAGAGAGATTTGAGATGGAAGCAGGCTGATACAAATGGATAAAGAAGGGGAGTTTTTCAGAACATGAGGCAACGTGAGATTTGCAGCTCGGCACTTATTTGCACACTCTGTTGCAAAAAAAAAGTTTAAAGAGATTTAATCTCTTAGCAGAGATTAAAAAGGTCTTAAGAAAGCAGTACCTTATGTAAATACTATTAA